AAAACTTTTATTTCAAACGACTTTTTCCTCCCGTCTGGGCTGGATTTTCTTTATCTGACGGAAACCTGGCTTCGTCCAGAGGAATCTTCTGCTTTTTCAGAACTTCTTCCCCCAGGTTGTGCCTATGCTAGCTCCCCTAAGATCTCTGACAGGTGGAGGATTGGCTTCGATTTTTTAACACAAATTCTGATGCCAGGAACTACCACCCGTCTCTTTCACCAGCTTCGAGGTGCAGCTGCTGGAACTGAACTGTGCTCCCCCAATTCTTTGTGTTGTGATGTATCGACCCCCGAAATCTGTTAAGGATTCTATTTTTCAATTTGGTGATCTTCTAGGGAGCCTGGTTTTACGCTACGACCGTGTTTTAATTGTTGGTGATTTTAAGCACACTAACAAAGGATTTCCTTGCCCTTATTGACATTTTTAATCTTGCGCAGTGGGTAAGTGAACCAACACATTTAAAAGGTCATTCGCTTGATCTAGTTTTCTCTTATGATCTGGATATTCGTATAAGGGACTCTGGGATTTCTGATCATTCTGTGGTTATGTTTAATGTTACGCTACCAATGGTATTAACGTAGTACTGAGACAGCTTTGTTAAGAGTTTTTAATGATCTCCTTTTATCCACTGATTCAGGTTGCTCTGTGGTTTTAGTCTTACTGGATCTGACCTCTGTGTTTGACACAGTAGATCATAACATGCTATTATCAAGGCATCAAGTAGTTGGTCTTAAGGGCACAGCCTTATCATGGTTTAAATCTTATCCTTCAGAGAGGTCATTCTCTATCACTATGGGGCAATACTCCGCCTCCTCTGCTCCCTTTCTCTGTGGTGTGCCCCAGGGGTCTGTTTTGGCCCCTATGTTATTCTCTCTGTACATGTTGCCCTTGGGATCTATTTTCCAAAGATATAATATTTCTTTCCATTGTTATGCTGATGACATTCAAATTTATTTTCCTTTGAGTTTGCATGTCACAGATCCATCGCATACATTCTTTAACTGTCTTCATGATGTGAGAATCTGGCTGTGGTGGGAATAAGGCATGGCGGGACCACAGATCATCATTTTGAGCGATTTTATTCAAATCACATCACACCACAACACACACCAACCCCTGAGTCCCCGTGTTTTTAACTCAGCGGGAGAGATTAAGGATGCCGTGCAGGTGCGTCCGCCCTCCCTGCATGGCACCTGCAGACCACGCCCCACCACACTGGCCATCTCAAAACTCTCTTACCTTGAATGACAGTAAAACTGAAGTTATTGTCTTTGACAGCCATATCCCTTTGAACCAACTAACTGTTACCCTTGGCCCACTTGCTAGTTACCTCTCCCACATTGTAAGAGATCTTGGGGTACTCTTGGATAGCTCCTTCAAATTAGAGAAACAAGTATCTTCTGTGGTTAAATCCAGCTTCAATCAGATACGACAAATTTCTAAAGCTAAGCCTTTTCTTTCCCCCAAGGACCTTGAAAAGCTTATTCATGCATTCATTATCTCTAGATTGGACTATTGTAACTCCCTTTATTTAGGCCTCCCTCACTCCTCTCTCTACCGGTTGCAATTAGTTCAGAACACTGCTGCACGCCTTTTATCGGGTGCCAGAATGCATGATCATATTACTCCAGTTTTAGCTAACTTACACTGGCTTCCTGTGAAATTTCACATTGATTTTATGATTTTATGAGGTATCGTTCTAACTGAAGACGAACCAAAGACGAGGCTCATTGTTAGAGAGTTATCTCTGGGATGCTGGGATGATAGCTCCCTCAGGACTTAAACTCCGGTCAGAGAGTGGGGCACAGAGAGTGATGTCCGGATATACTTTAATGGAAGTTAACAGCAGCTCAACAGTACAGCAGTAGGCATACTTAACGAATGTGGGAGGGCTGGACAGACGTGTGGTTCTGAATAACAATTATAGCGATGCGATTGAAATATAAGGAGACTTTCGGACACTCATGAAACTTCTGTTTCAGTCATCAAGGATCTGTCAGTGAGAGGCTTCATTACTAATGCCGTACTAACCACAGGACAACTATAGAAACCTTTTTTTGGCCCAGTTTCATATTCACAGACATTTGACTGTGATGATGAGATCCAGACCAACACTCATAAAGAGTTAGAACCTTATTGTTCTTCCTCTGTAGTTTCTATGTTTGCTGTCCTGCTGTCTTCACTTTATTCCTCCGTGTGTGTTCAGCTTCTGTATTTGACGTCATCTCTGTGCTGCTGACGTAGCTACTGCTTTTTGTGCTTTCTTCTTTTGTTCAATAAAGTTGGGTTTTTTTTAAGCAGCTTCATCTAAAGTCCCTCCCCGTTTCTCAGATACTTCTGCGTCACTTCCTCTCCTCCTCACAGACGTGAGCAGAATAAAAATTTAAATAAAAAAACAAAAGCTAGAGGCACTTTGACCTGATGAAGCTAGATATCGGAACACCAGGGGGCGGTGTCTGCTCAGAGTTCAACAGAAGGAGAAAAATGACCTGCTGTTAGCTGATCCAAAGCAAGAGCTGTGATGAAGACATGAAGCGGACCATGGGAGGAGGTGGGACCAGTTCCTGGGACACACTGGGACACAAACCCTGGAGCTTCAGCAGGAGCAGGAGGGAGTCTGCTTAGACTGATGGTTCTGTCTCCGTTTGCTCTTAAAGAATCAGTGCTGTTATTGATCCATACCGATCGACCAGATGCATCAAAACCAGCAGCGTCATTTCCTGTCAGTGTGAACTTCCTGTCCTCTTTGGCCCCGGCTGATGCGGTTTTATGTTATTGATCTGTGATTAAAGCTCAGGTTTACTTTAAAAGTCTGAAGCTGCAAACACTCAAAAACAATCTGAATTCATGTTGTCACACGTAACAACCGTCATGCAGTTTTACTGCTTCAAGCTTTCATCATTTTTATGGATCAGCTCGTGAATTTCTCTGAAACTTTCATCATTTTAACTTGTGTAGCATTAATAAAGGTTTGTTGTTTTGAGAGAAACGTCACACAAACAGCTGGTCAAACCTATAAAAAAACCCTGAAACTGAAACAGGAAAGAGACAGAAAATAGAGAAAATAGAGAAGTGAAGCTGAAAAAAACCCCCAAAAAGTAAAAAAAAGAAAAAGAAAAAAAAAGACGTGAGCTCAGAAAAACACAGCCAGTGTCTGGACTGAAAGACCGAGGCACTAATCCTGGCAGCACAGGAACAAGGCCACCAGCTGCTGAGGTCAAGATGGGCCACGCCCCCTCGGGTGGTCGACAATGGCTGCTGATTGTATAACCCACTCCTGCTCATTCCGACCTCAGTGATGGGTTTTCCCGATAAGCCTGAAGGACACACAAACACAGCTGTATGGACTCAGCTGAAGGTCAAAGGTCACTGCAAAACACAGCTCAAATTTATTATCCAGTCAGTCTCCCCTCCCCCTGAGGTGTTTGTTCTGTTGCACACCTGCGCTCTGGACAGCAACGTGTTTCTGAACTCGAGCAGAACATTTAACAGCTGTTTGTACCAGAGCAAACTTTATTGAAACAAACGTGCTTGTTGCAAACATCGATAAAGGTGGGAAACTCCTCTTAATCACTTCAGTGTTGAAGGTCTGCGCTGCACCGCCCACAGCCCGCTGATAGCGATGTTAGAGGTCAATAAGTCACGCGCCGCAGGGGTCACACATCCTCGGACTCAAAAACTTTATTAATTCGAGTCCCTGCTTCTCTGTCCCTTGTAGCCCCCAGCTTCAAGTGATGTCATCAGTCCCTATCAGCGTTCTCCTGATGAAGGGTGTGACCTCACCAGCAGCAGTAAACAGGAAGTTTATCATCAGCAACCAGCCTCATTTCCAACCCTTCCTTTCTGATTACTGCCTTTCTGTACGTTTGCTGTTTAGCTTCCTGTTAAATCATGTGACCCACCTGTGTGAAAGCTGCTGTTACTGTCAATAAAGTTCACTCATTTAAAAGCCTGGCTGACTGTGATGAGATAGTATCGATCTGCATTTGGATCGATTAACCCCCGGCAGCCTGCCGAGCCTCGAGCTGTTCACGTCTGAGTATAAAAAAGTTTCAGGTCGAACAGGTCAGCTGACATTTGGGGAGTCAAACTGGTTTCAGTTCCAGCTGATCAGCTGACACAGGTGCATGTTCCTCTCTCAGGTGTACCTGAGTGTCTCGCTGCCTCCGTCCTAGGGCTGTTCGATATAACGATATATATCAGATGACGATATAAAAACATCCATCGTTTCATTTTACGCTGTTGTTTGTTTCGTGGTGTCGCAAAATAAACTGTTTACAGCAATATTTTTTCATGTTCTGATGTCACTGTAGTTATTATTAAGTTCTTAAAGTTCTCTCTTTTTCTTATATGTAATATAACCACACTAGGACAGACAAGCGCCTGTTTTCATGCGTTGTCGTTAGCAACAACGACGGTAACAGCATCGCGTGTCCGCTTGTTTATGTTCCACATAAACCTTTCACAATAAAGCTCAAGATCCTGTTGAGACTTTTCAAAATAAACTGAATCACGTGAAAGATGCAGATTATTTACAGATGAGAATTAAAAAAAAAAAAAAAAAAGAGACGCCAGGTGCTAAAAAATAAAGCTTAGAGTCAAACGTTAGAACAGGCTTTTCCCCGCAGCCGTGTAATAAATACTCACAAAGAAAATGGCGGCCGTTACAACTTATGTCTAAAAATGTATCGTTTCATGCATCGGTTAAAACACTCGACTCAGCTACATGACGCGAAGCTGGAAACACTTCACGCAAGTCGAGCTGCCCGAGAGTCACAGAAAATGTTACATTTTTGTGATTTATATCGTTGTCAGGACGACAGATGTCTTACATCGGGATATGAGATTTTGGTCATATGGCACAGCCCTACTCCGTCCTGTTTAAAGAAACATCGAACACAAAGTCAAACCGCTGCGCTGGGCTCGGTGTCACAGCCAGTTTGAACACAGATACACCTGGAAACTACGGGTACCTTACAGTGATGTCACAGACACAGTGATGATGTCAGAAAACTTTATTACTGTAGAGAATCACAGCAGGAAAAAAAGTGATGACACCACAGCTATATGTGATAACGCCCGCCCCCTCACACGAGAGCTGCAATGGAAAGCACCAATCGCTGACCAGAGTCACGTGACCAGCCTGCACAGCTTCTTCCAACAAAGCACTCTGGGAAACCGAGTCCCTCTTATGCCAACAAACCACGTTACAGGATGGAAGCCTGCAGGCCAGACAGGAAGTGAGTCTCTGTGATGTCAGCAGGTTTTAGAAAAACAAAAATGTGGTTAAAGGAAGTGACATCAGTCGTATTATAAAATAAAGTCTAATTTATGTTTAAAATACACCCCACGCACTCTTCCATATAGTCCTGCCCCCTCATCTCTTCCACAATAAGCGAAACACTCGCAGCTCTAAATGCTGATTATTGATTTGTGACTGATCGGTTATTGATTAGAAGCTGAAACGTCTCACCACACCCTCTGTAGCCATATGAACTTTCACCTGATGAAACTGCTGAGGCCCCTTTCAGAGTCCTACATCCTGCTTCCTGCCACGTTAATCAAAGGGCGGGGCCAGCTACATCTGAAAGGGGCTTTAGGCTGTTGCTGACTGGCGATCAATGGTGGGTAGCGGCACTGCATGATGATGTCACAGAAAGGAGAAAAAGGCGTCAGCGACGACGGTTAGACAGATGAGATCGTGTGCGCTGATCAGCAATAAAGTGACTCCAGAGAAGAAGAAGCATCATCGTCGTCATCATCATCACATCTGCAGGAGACACAGGTGAGACAGGCAGACCCAGACAGACCCACATACACACCACGTCACACGGTGCAGGTGACTCACCTGTACGGGAGATCTGTGCAGCCACTTCTCTTTGTCTCCGCCCACCTTCATGCAAGAGAACAGGTCACACATGGTGGGCAGCGCCACAGCGAGGCGTTCCTAAAGAGGAAACAAGAAGCAGTCAGGAAGCCGGAAGCGAGCAGCAACCAAACCACGTGTGTGTTCAGCTCCAGCTGTGCTCACCTGAGCTTGACTCCTCTTCCTCAGCAGCCACTTGTCCTCTTCCTCCTCCTCCTGGGGCGGCACTGCGGAATCGGGCGCTGGGCTCTTCCGTGGAAATAGCCACAGGTCCGTCTCCAGGGGGCTCTGGAAGAGAGACGAGGAGGAACCGTTCTCCTCCCGGCTCGCCTTCTCCTCCTCAGCTGCCACCCAGCCGGAGAGCGAGGAGGTGAAAGCCTGCAGAGGAGAGCTGGAGGGAGTGGAGCCGGTGCTGGGGTGGAGCCACGCCTCCAGGATGGCCTGAACCTGTCAATCAGTTGATCAATTAATCAATCACCTAATTCTTACTGAAGTGTCACAGCAGAGCTGACTGATCGGCTCTTACCTTCTGTTCCTGCTCTCGGTGGAAGGGTGTGGCCGTGGCGCTCTTGGCAGTGGGCGGGGTGTTCTTGGGGACGCCATTCTTGTCGCGGTCCTCCTGCTGCAGCAGCCAGCGGCTCAGCGCATCCTTGCCGCAGTTCTCCTCGCAGACGCAGGCCGAGTAGGCGGAGCAGAGCTCGTTGGCGCGGCAGGTCTGCAGCGTCGGCGGCGTCTTCTGCAACCACACCTCCAGAGACGCTGGCATCGACACGGGGACGGGAGAAGTGGGCGAGGTGGTGCCTGAGGTAGGCGTGGTCTTCAGGCACTTGAGCTTGCCGAGGTTTTCAATCTCCACTGCGCTGATGGTCTGACAGCACGACGAGCAGTCGCCGATTGAACGGCTCACTGGCGACAGCCAATCATCGGTTGACCAGCTTTCCTCAAACGGCTTAAAGACACGCTGCCAACGTTCGGCGTCCGACATGGTCTCCATGGCAGCAGTAGGCGGGGTAACAAGCCAGTCGTTCAGCTCCTCCTCAGCTGCGGCGGACAGCTCCATTTCGTCGATCTTCTCGATGGAGAAGGAGGAGCTACAGCTGCTGACGCTTCTCTCCCGGTTGGGGGAGGGGTCTTGAATAAGCCACGCCTCCAAGTCCCTGAGCTGACCCCAGGCTTTCATGAAGTTCATGGAAGCCATCACGGGACAGGAAGTCTGTTACAGAAACAGGAAGTAAAGCAGGTGAGAGGCACGGCCTGAGGTCAGAGCCTGTTCTCAGGTAACACACCTTAGCACTCACCTTACTCTCCTTCTGTGACAGCAGCCAATCCTGCGGGTCTGTGCTAGACTGATAGCCAATGGGAGCGAAGCTGTTGGCGGGTTGAGATTCTAGCAGCCAATCGCTCAGAGAGGAGGGCTCAGCCATCTGCTGAGAGGGAGACGCAATCAGCATCACCTTGCTTTCATCACTATCGCCATCACCACCAGGACGCAACTTACCTGCTTCTTCGCTGTGATTGGACAACTCTGCACCTGAGGTCTCAGGTGGGTGGAGCTCTGAGAGGATATACCCTCCACAAGCTGTAAACAAGAAGGAGAGAGAACACACCTGAAAGATCCACTAACACAGTGTGTGTTACCTGTGTGTGTGTGTGTTACCTGTGTGTGTGTGTGTGTGTGTGTTACCTGTGTGTGTGTGTGTGTGTGTGTTACCTGTGTGTGTGTGTGTGTGTGTGTGTGTGTGTTACCTGTGTGTGTGTGTGTTACCTGTGTGTGTTACCTGTGTGTGTGTTACCTGTGTGTTACCTGTGTGTGTGTTACCTGTGTGTGTGTGTGTGTTACCTGTGTGTGTGTGTGTGTTACCTGGGCGTTGATGCTGCCAAATGAGGTGATGGCCTGCTTCAGAGAGCGAGAGTCGGCATGGAAACTCAACTCAGGTGTTTCCTCTGGAGTGAGACTCAGAGAGGACAACCTGCACACACAGGAGAAGACAACAAGATCACATGACTGCACCGCACCTGACACACATGCCTACAGGTGAGAGTCTACAGGTAAAACCAGCTCAGTATGTCAGTAATCTGATTACATCAGCTTTTAGCACAGATGTAATCACATTAGACAGTGAAATCCTGACTGCATGCCTTAACTGAGGGTGTGCAGACTGGGACAGCTACGCCAACAGGTGAGAGCACCAGCAAGGAGAACAGACCGCTCAGGTGTGAACGCGCCCACAAATCTGTGTGTGTGCATGTGTTTGTGTGTGTGCGCACGTACTTCTCCATGCAGCTGGTCAGCTGGTTGTTCAGGTCGTTGCTGCTGGAGCTCTGCAGCTGGTAGGCGATCACGTCAAACTGACCTCGGAGCTGCAGCACAGACACAGCACAGGTAAGCAGACAGGTAAACAAACAGTCAACACAGGTAAACAGGCCCCGCCCCCAGTTACCCGGTGCAGCTGGTGCAGCTGCTGTTGCAGAGTTTCCGTCTTCACTTGTTCGAGCAGCTCAATCTGACCCAGCAGCCACACCTCCCTGCAGCGCAGCGCCTCCTGCTGGCGGCTCACGCAGCTCTGCAACTCCGAGCGCACCTGAGGGGACGCACAGGTGAGACGTGTTAAGCAACACCTAAACGTGAAATGTTCAGTAACCAAACAGATTCTTCCAGAGAAAAACAAAAGAAATTTCACAGCTACTGCGTGACTGACAGGCTGGAGTTTGAAATCCGCTTCGTAACCACGTCTCTTAACAGGTGCCGTCTTTGGTCCTTATACACACATAGTACGGTAACATTACGCTCAAGCAGAGTACGTATCACTCCGCGAGGCTCCTCGCAGCCGTAATGCTCCAACAATCCATCAGGCAGTGCGGCTCCGTAGCTTAGCAAAGTCGTACTCAAACATTTTTGACAGATTGCTGAGCGTAAACAAAGCTTTTTGTTAGTAAAGTTTTTTCACACGGACACGCGAGCTCCCCCTTCCTGTGGAGGTGGATCAGCTGACAGGTTAAAGTAAAACAGCCTGTCCTGTTGTTTCTGCTCAGTTTAAATAAAGTTTATCTCACAGAAAAAAACAAAACATCACGGAGCTGAGATCAATCCAACCCCGATAATGAAGCTGTGAGTCCCTAACCAACGAGCATGGACGCACACCTGAGCCGGAGCCTGAAGTTTTACCTGGAGATAAAGTATGAAGTCCAGCACGTCGCACTTCACTGCTCTCACCTCCTCTGAGCTCCTCTCACCTCCTCTGCAGGCTTTATAACCCGCCTCGCCCTGACCCTCCTCTTCCTCTCCCTCACCTGTGGCTCAGCTGCAGACAAAGGCAGGATTTCAGGTGGTTTCAGCCTTGCCGAGTCAGCAGTGATGAAGATGATGATGGCTAACTGCGATTGGTTGGTCTCAACAGGTAAATCCTCAGGTGTTTAAAGCTCAAGTGATTCACGGTTTGATATGAAAAACAGGGGGCGTGGCACAGAGCCAGCTGAGTGGTCGCAGCAGTTTAGCAGGACAAGTGTTTCACCGTAAAATGATCTGGGTGTCAATAAAGTTTCAAGCAGCTCCGTTTGGTGGCAGGTAACTAACGCACTGATCAGGACAGCAGGTAGAAAACGTGTGAGCTGATCCAGGTTTCAGCAAGGAGCTTCCTGTGAATCAGCTGACCTGCACTTCCTCCCATCTGCAGCGCAGCAGGAAAACATTTTACAAACTCACGTGAGCTTATCAGCAGTTCAGTTATTGATCACTGATCAATTGTTCTAATCCAACACAGACTTGCTGGGCACAAACTTTATTGATCGACTGAACAGGAATCGTTTGGTTCAGTCTGCCAACGCATTTCCTGTGTCGTGGCATGTCGAACACATTTGTGCCGTTACCATCTGATCTGCTGAAAGGGCCTCTTCCTGTTCTTGCTTTAAAATAAATACCTTGGCTTGACTGCGCTGGTCATGTGACACTGGGGTTATCACGCCTTAAAGCACTTCCTGTTCAGAGAGAGGAGGCACTCACCTCTCTGGCATTCTCCCTCAGCTGCTGCTCCGCCTTCATCACGGCACCGATGGCATCCTCCAGCTGATCCTGGGCCTGTTGGCACTGCTTCAGGCCACTCGCCGCCAGCACCTCCAGCGACATCCTGGACAGAAAACAGGAAGTGGAGACAGCACGGTGATTTCACTGAAATTGACGACTGACTTTAAAGTGTGCTCAGGATTAGAGCAGGGCGATATGACCAAAAATATTTATCACGACATACATTTGAAAATTTGCGATAACGATATAACTGACGATATAATCGACACGAGACAAAATAGTTTACAACTCCTCAACTTTATTAGTGCAAAACAAACATCAATGTATTTCCACTGAAACAAGCAGCTGTTTTTTATGTGCATTAAAGTTATATAAACATGTAACAGTTCGTAGCTCAGCAAAGTCGTACTGAAACATCTGACAGATTTTCGAGCGCCGTGCACATAAAATCGTCTCGAGGTCAGTAAACACAACCAGAGTTCATACATAAGGCACACGGGATTATAAGGGGCTCTGTCGACTGTCAGAAAAATCAAAGGATTGATTTTAAGTGCGCCGTATTTTCCAAACAACACGGTAATAACGACGGCCCGCTAGCATGCGCTACCAAAAATAGTGCTTTGTTGTGTATCTGACGGAGGAAAGCCAAACCAGTTCCACACCAGTGAAGCTGCAGCATTTTACAAACCAGTTCAGGTTCATGGTTTCATTCAACGATCCGCTTTCGCTCTTCTCATTCTGCGTCGCCACCGTGCTTTTTCCGCCATGTGCGTTTTACCCAAATTTCATTTTCTTGTCGTTGCCCAACATTACACCGGTATTACCGTGAATGGTATGATATGGCCCAGCCCTTCTCAGGATTACACGCTTTAGGACCTCGCTTTATTTCTACACCATCATCTTCCTCGCCTGTGACCTCAGGGGGTAATAATAGCCGCCGCGGTCACACAGCGAGCTCTGCGGCTCCTCTGAGTCACTCACACAACAACAGTAAAGCTTTCCATAGAAGCTCCTCCTGTTCAATCAGCTGTTTGTGGACGCTGCAGCATTGTGTTCCGTGATTGGTCAGAGGGTCGCGGCTCGCCACAAACCAATTAGATTAACCCATCACTAGCGCGCGCGCACACACACACACACACACACACACACACACACACACGGAAGTAATGAAAGACACTAAAGCAGTGGTCTCCAACCCCCGGGCTGGTCCGTGTGTCGTTTGGTTTTTATCGTTAACTCGGTGTCCCTGGGTCTTTTCCCGTGTGTTATGATCTTTTTTCGGTAGCGGTACTGGCTTTATTTTGTTGTATGTATCCACGACACCTTAAAGGCTAGTCCGTGAAAATATTGTCAGATATAAATCGGTCCATGGCGCAAAAAAGGTACTAAAGTACTTTAAATAGCCCTATGAAGTACTTTACAGGAATACTCTGTTTGGCATTATTAGTACAAAGTACATGCATTCCTGAGCATGTGCAGAAACCCTCCACAGTGAACTGTTAATCAGCTGTTAGAGGGGGTGGGGTCTCAGGGTGCAGCAGTGTCTTAGTATCAGCTGTAAACAGACGCTTGTCTGCAGCTGATAACCCTCACTGTGTGACCTTTGACCCCAGCTCAACTCTCACCCACTTCCTGTGTGATAATCAGCTGATCAGCAGAACACAGGCTAACAGCTGGTACTGATCATTTCTCATCAGCGTTAACTTTTCCTTCACAACACGTCTGAACTTCATATGGAAACTTACTGACACAACTTATTAAAAGCTGAAGGAAACACGCCGGATCAAAACCTGTGTGTGTAATAATGTGTAACACCTGTGGGCTTAGCTGACTGACATTATGATATAGAACCTGTTACATCCAGACTTTATTTATGACCTGGCAGGTGAACTAAAGAACTATGAACGAGACCGACTAGTTCCTGATATTTACCATCAATAACGACTGATGGTTGAGGAAGCGAGCTCTATTTTTAGAGCAGTGCTGGAATTTATTTCTTTGTCTGCAGAAAAAATTAATCCCCTGAGGAAGTCAGTCTCTCTCTCTCTCTCTCTCTCTCTCTCTCTCTCTCAGTTAATGCAGTCAGAACACTGACAGTCTGTCACCAGTGAAATGAAAATGACTGCATTATAGGGATTGATTTTGTGGTGTCAGCGCTCCTGCAGGCTGTAAATACAACACCAGCTCTCCGTGCACTCTACCAGCACCAACAGGGCCTCCTGCTGCTTTCAGCAGCTCCTTTAGGAATAAGAAAAACAACTAAAATGTCAACATGGGAAGCTTTTCTTCGTCACCTGTCACATAAATGAAACTGACACGCAGTTAAAGGGCGCCTCGAGGAACCAACTCATAAGAAAATACACAATTTCTCCGTCAATTACGAATGCAGCACAAGTCCGTCTCTTTCGGTTCCTGTTTTATAACCACCGCCTCATACAGAGTGGAATACAGTCGGTAAACCGCGGGGTTTTACCTGATGCTGACTCAGTGTCGGTAAAACTGCAGGGGTAAAGCTCCGTTTCAGCCGCAGGCAGTCTCGCTCAGAGCCGGCGTTTCTGGTGTTTTCCTCCACAGCTCACGGGAGGAGGAGCCACAGCCCTCCATTACTGCCTGCCGGCCGGCACGTACGCATTAAGCTACAGAGCGGGGGCTTGGAGGCTAAGCCAATGGAGGAACAGTTCTACGAGGGGCGTGGTTTAGAGAGAACCCAGTCTTACCACTGGGTAACCACTAGCCGAGGGGCTGGCGAGGGGCCCCCGCTCCGGGTCCAGAGCAGGGAGGGGCCGGCCGGGGGCACCGAGGCGGATCCGCTGAACACATTCCAAAGGCCGAGATAAAGCGACGATGGGGTCGCTGAGTGCAGCTGATATCCGTAACATATTAACCACCGGCAGCGTGACACAGCGCAGCCAAAGTCCGCAGAATATTGTGTGCCGCGCAATAATCTGCACAGCTGACACAACAGCCGCACACACTCTTCCCTCTGTTGCACCTTCTTTGGTTAAATTAAGTACTTCCAGGGTGACTTTAGGACGACGTTTTGTAACAACTGGTAAGCATCAGCGTGTTTGGGTTAAGCCGAATTACAGAGTGGATCCCAGAAATACATATCATGTAAAAACGAATTTCATACAAAGTAAAACAAGCGAACGGAGCAGCATTTTAACACATTAAATTAAAAAGGATGACCTCTGACCCCTCAGAGTTTATTTTTAACATTTCGGAACGAGGTTACAGTGTTCCGGCTAACGCGGCTAGCGTCTGTGGCGCCTTTAACCTTCGACAGAAATTATACCGAACCGCGGCAACAACACAGTTTAATCAGAGTCACACAATCAACCAGCTTCTCTCGGGCTGAGACTCTAACTGCGTGTTTTAAAGGATCACCGAGGAGCTAACGGCTAACAGCTCCTCGGGGAGCCGCTCCGCGTGTCGCTGCACTCACCTGGAACCTTTACCGTGGACTCTCCCTTTCGATATCATTAATGATCCGCTCGGTTCGGCAACACGACAGCCAGAACAACGGTCCGGAAAATGAAGCCAATGTCACCACCGCGTCAAGGAACAAGAACCACAGAGGGCGGAGAAGTGTCGCGAGAAATGGCAAACTATCGTGCAGCGTGAGGCTGCCCCCTGCTGGTGAGACTAGGACACAGCCGGTAACTGTAGCCCTCTGACATTATAGTCCAAAGGTACTGAACTAACATCGGAAAAGGTCCACTTTGAGAAAATGCTTTGAAGCGCAGGTCTTTTGTATGTCCCTCCATCTGCAGTCATGTCACGACTTTGCAATACTGAATCTCGATTAGCCACAGATCCTGACAAAGCCGTTCATACAGAGATCAGATCTTAAAGTTAGAGCAAGCTAGTTATGTGGCTAAACTCAGCTCTGAGGGGATTGACGATGGCAAAGACGTCTGGTACATTTCTCATCACGTGATAAGTCACAACAATAAAGATCGCATAGTCTTTGATTTCTCTTTCACATTTCAAGGCCAATGTCTAAATAAGTACCCGTTACCGGGGCCGATCCTTGGGCCAACACTTCTTGGTGTTCTGTTGTGTTTTAGGCAGCGTTCAGCAGACTTATCCCCGCACTTAGCTACTCAGTCACAGACTTGATTCTTTCTGCTGCCTGTACACCACTGATATAACATTTGAGCATATGTAACAGGGTCATAAATCACATATTGTTATAATTACACAAAATGTGTTCTAAACCCCCAAACTACTCCTTTTATACCTGACTTTTAGGACCTCCAAGCCTGTAGTTATGTTCATTATCAGTTAGAGCCCCTCCTCATTCTTTTCTTCTTCTTCTTTGGTGCAATCCTATAAATACAATGTACCCCTTTTGCCTCTCCCCTTTTCTACAATTCCCCTGTGGGAGAGGTGGGTGTCATTTCTTTCCCAACACTGTAAAACACACATATAACGCTGAAGATATCTATCTATTCGGAACCATGATAACAGGGTTCATGCTGATCGGAGTTGGCTTAGCCCTGGTTTATCGGAGAAATAAGAGAGCGGAACCGGCTGTTCAAACCCCCCCAAGGCTGCCCGCTGGAATCGAAATGGAACGAGGCGCAACCTCTCACAACGAACGTAATATGGTCAACACCTTGGAGACGCTTGCAGCTGCTGTGAAGGCTCAAAACAACACCATTGAGCGTATGAGGGGAAACATCAGAGAGGGGCCTGCTCAAAATGAGACCCTTGAGCGACAGTTGGAAAACATCACGGAACGGATCACTGCAGTTGTGAGGTCTCAGAATCAAAAGAACAATAACACCATGGAACAGAAGTTTGATACCATCATGGAGAGGCTCGCGACTCTCCAACGGGAGATCGAGAGGCCAGTGTCGGAGTCTTAAAGAGCAGCCTGAAAAATTCTCCTGGGCTGCTCGCATGAAATTAACAAAACCAACATAAACATTGCGGACCCCCATCACGGCGCCAGCTGCAGGCCCAAGGCTGGAGCCAAACAATCACTCCCTGATAATGACTGTGTACGGCTATTCTTCCCATCCCATGCAAGGACACCTGGATTGGCTGGAGGACTGTTTACTTAGCCTGATAGGCCGAAGGACACTGTCTCAGCTAAACTATGGACACGCACCCACACACACACTTACACTGATAAGCACTCACTCATCACCCCTCCCTTTCCAACGCCTTCGATGCTTGTGCCCTACCGGGGAAGATAGCAGTCAACTGGACCTGTATTTGGTTGGAGGAGCTGGAGTGGGCAAATTATTTACTTGAAGGTCTTTCTTTCTTTTACCTTTTGTATCAGACACAACGCAGAATCACACCGGTTACACATATTAAAACTATTATCCTGTTCTACAATTAACATTCAACATGTTTGACCTTCTATATTTGACTTTAGACCTGTTGGGTTCATTTTGAGACAGAGAAGACAAACATGCTCAAAGTCATGAAGCAGTTGCAGGTTTAAGTTAAAAAAAACGTCTGACAAGTCTCTGCTCGCTCAGGAGACCCAAACCAACACAGAGCCTCAAACCCAGTAAGTGTTTTTGATCCCACCCAGTAAACCGGACACTAATGTGTACCGGAAACCTACGCATACAGATCAGTATTCAAGGTTTGACTCTCATCGCCTTGAGGCGACTTATGTTGTGATTTGGCGCTATATAAATAAAATTGAATTGAATTGATCATCCACTGGAGCATAAGCTGAGTGTGATCAGGACGTGAACAGGAGCGAACACCATCCCCACAGACACAGCAGCCAGGGAAGCAGAGGACATCACATAAAGAAAACCTGTAGTGATCCCGTATGTGTCAGGAGTATCAACTGAGATGAACAGAATCAACTTTTTGGGAATTGCTTACCTGGATGATTGAGCATCAAGATATGTTTCCAAATCTTTAAAAAGACACATAAATAAGCGTGCGGTTGGAGCTCACTGGACCAGGATTAAAGACAACTTGGCATTAATCAGCTCTCAGACGTGATGTGTGACTGTGAACCATCAGAAAATAACATCAGACCACTCAGAGCAGATTTAATGTCACACGAGAAAGAGTTCAATCTCTCCCTGACTGAGATTTAAAATGTGTATCTTCATCTTTTCTAATTGCTACATGTTGCTGATTTTACAGTTTTGCTTCAAACTGGAACCCTTTGTTCTCGACAAACATCATCTGCATGTCAGAGAAGAAATGGAGTGGTGAGCGTCTGTAAAACATCGATTTGTCATGAGTGGAATCTCAGGACATGAATCAGATATGATCAAATGAATGAAAAAACTCTCACGGAAATATCGCGATATCTTCGACCTCCACGTCGACTGGGGATGTGGCGTCAGCCGGTGGGCGGAGCGTCCTACGGACCAAAACATCAGATTTTAGAAGCAGGAAAAGAAAAAGATCCATCCGCGGATCCACCGACCGAACCACGGACACAGACTCCACCCCACGGAGAGCCGCTGCTGTTGTGGGGAAAATGTCTTCGGGCTCCGGGAGCAGGAACACGGAACCATGGGGAAGCTTCGACGATAATCTCATCCAGGTGAGCTACATGCTAACAGGCTAACGAGCATCCCAGCCGGCCTATAAAAGTAACAGCACCTGAGTGACGCTGCAGGTTAGCCCGAAACAGCGTACAGGTGAGCTCGCGAGGTTAAAGCACTGTGAGGAATCAAACCATGCTAACATGGTAACAGGAGACCCGAGAGCTAACAGGCTAACACCAGGCTGACCTGAGATCAGCCGACTGAACATCTGTAATCAGCTGGAAGCTCCTCTGATAAACTGATTAACAAACTGTTGGTCGGTTTAACGGATCGATCCCTACCTCAGTAAGACTCCTCTCCGGTCTCCTTTTATGTCTCCCATGTTTCCTCTCCTGTCTCCTATGTTTCCCTTTCTGTCTCCTTCCGCATCTCCTATGCTTCCTTTTCTTCCACATCTCCCATGTTTCCTCTCCTGTCTCCTTATACGTCTCCCGTGTTTCCTCTCCTGTCTCCTTATACGTCTCCCGTGTTTCCTCTACTGTCTCCTTATACGTCTCCCGTGTTTCCTCTCCTGTCTCCTTATACGTCTCCCGTGTTTCCTCTCCTGTCTCCTTCCCTCACTCTCGTGTTTCCTGCATTCAGGGCGGCGGCTCAGCGGTCATCGACATGGAGAACATGGACGACACGTCGGGCTCGAGCTTTGAGGACATGGGCGAGATGCACCAGAGGATGAAGGAGGAGGAGGAGGTCGCGGCAGAGGCTGCCGCCACCGAGGATGACGTGGCCGACGACGGAGAGTTCCTGGGCATGAAGGGGTTAAAGGGTCAGCTGGGCCGGCAGGTGGCCGACGAGGTGAGGCGGGGTTATCTGGTCTTAAACACTTGCAAACATTTTCTTCTTCTGTAGCTGTTAGCTGCTGTTACAGAGGCCAGCTGAAGCTCCTCTGTGCCACACAAAGACCGTGTTCAAAATTTCAGAAGGAAATTCAGGAGAAAGGTCTGCCAGCTAAAAAGATTTAATTTGTGTTGGCAGCTGAAATTACAAGTTTACACAGTGCTGTGGATCTGTGTGTGAAATCAAGCATCTGGTTCACCAAGAGGATAACCCTCAAACAGGCAGCACAACTTTCTATAGTGAGACAAAAACAAAGGTTATCATGGCTCCCACACAGTCGTGCTGTCTCCTGGCGAATCCTCCCCGTCCATCGCCCGGTATCTGTTCGCTTCTCTGTCCGAGACAGAAAAGGAAAACACCTCCCTGCCCAGCCTTGATAATCTAATGTTATTATCCATTCTTCTTCTACTGACTCTAAGTTCAGGTTCAGAATATCTTGCTCGGACGCTCGAACCCAGAGACTTATTCTAACCATTATCTGTGTGTAAGCGTGTTGCGAACAAACCTCTGCAGTCGACGTCATTCCTACAGTTTATCAGTCCGGACAGTCACGCCAAACGAAGCTTTCAACCTTCAAAGGAGTGCCAACCCATACGAGCACATTTGCAGTGTGTATATAAATATAATTACAACAGCTTTATTTAAAAATCAACCTAACAGCCCCTGGACGCCTCTGTTGTTACTTAGTGACGTCACTCTTACCGCTTTTTTCACTAGTACCTGCTCGGCTTCAGTCGTTTGACGTCAGCGGTGACGACAGTCCTGTGGCGTCGTTTTAACGTGACACAAACACGACACAACAGTGGAGGATGTCGAGGCGATGGTGCACCCGCTGCTCTGTGGCGTTCAGTCAGACGCCGCGGTGTTGGTTTGTGTGGCCACATTCCTTGTTGTGGGTTTCAAAAAAGGCGGTTTTGATTTTCCTAAAGGAGTCGCTCTCATGACTCATCGAGTGAAGCCACTGACCGGCCAATCGGTGGGATGCAGTCTGTTGATGTTAGATGTTTGGATCACCTCAGATCACTTGGAACCCTGGCCAAGCAGGTACTAAAGGTACTTTACCTGGTACCAGGTACTACGGCTAAAAGCCGAGCCGAGCAGGTGTTAGTGGAAAAGCGCTAACTCGTTTCTTCTTCTCTGAAATGTTTTACCTGTGTGATGCGTTCAGGTGTGGCAGGCGGGCAAGCGTCAGGCCTCCAAAGCCTTCAACCTGTACGCTAACATCGACATCC